TTATGAAAATATATTTAATATTTAATTTGATAAATCATAATAAAAAAATAAAAATAGAAATTAATCTATTTAATTTATATATATATTTTTTTATATTTATATATATGACGTGTTACACTGGTTTTAACCTAAAAATATTATATAAGTAGCCACATAAAAAAGAGAGCAACAAGCAAAGGGCTATTTTACCTACGGGTCGGAGAAAAAATTTACATTATAGGATCGATTTAAAAAAGATTATCGTATCACGTGTGACCATTTTTTTATGTTTTAAAAAAAATTGTATTACCTCACATAAATTTAGTAATATAATAATATATTAAACTTAAAATAAATTTATTAACGCAATAATTCCAATTTAATATATATATTATTTAAAAAAGTATTATATAATAATAAAAATAATATATAAATTACATAAAAAATAATATAAATAAACATACTATCAAACACTTTAAATATAAAATAAATAAAAAAATTATAGTACCTAATTTAAAAATAATTAAGAAAAAATAACTACAACTAACTTCAAAATAATTAAAGAGAAAAATTACATTATATCTTTTATTATATCTAACTTAAAATTTTATATATTTTATTTTATTTTATTTCAATGTATGATTATGAATCATAAGAATAATTCAGTATCTACTCAACAATGTAATTCTTACATATTATTATATTTTCATAAAAGATTATAGTGATAATAATAATAAACAACAACAAAAGTAACGATAATATTAAAAGGAGATAATCAAAAGTAGTAAGTGATAATGACGATGACAATTATAAGAACGAAAACTATAATAAATAAAAATATTATAATTAGTACAAAAAATATTTTTTTCTTTTTAGGTTTGTGTGTTTCTATGTTAAACTAACAAAAAAAAATCCTTAACCCATATAACTTTATCAGTTTTTCCAATTTTTAACCGATTTATCTAATTTTTGATCAATTTATTATTTTGTCTAATTTTTAAGGAATTTTATACCTACTCATGGTCCATCCGGTTGAAGCGGTTGCTAAATCAATCAATGACCCAAATGGAATCTGGAAACTGAAATTAGTACATACCAAGTTTTATGACAAGCTGAATAACCTTCTATTTGCCATGCACTCACAGGCCAAGCCGCAATCCAATGCAATTATTAATTTATATTTTTCAAACCTATGAGTCACAGTTGTAGTCGTGGCATGCCACTCTCAATTCTTTATTTTTTTTCTCTTGGTTCTTATTGTCTGCATTTATTATTTTATGGTTGTTCCAAATCAAATTTGAAATCTCTCGGTTTATGTTATGTTGGGGCAGGCTTGTTTTAAGATGAGCTCAAGTCGAACACGGTAATTCGACTTTAGTTTAAAATAAAAGAGACTAAATTCGTGTTATTTAATACGAGTTAAAAAAAAAGGTTATATGATTTTTTTTTAATATAGTGAACTCGTTTTACGTAATAGTATGAATTCTTTATTATGAAATTGTGTTTTTAAACATGGTTTAATATTTTTTAATAAAAATTTTTAAAATTGACCCTATAATGTAAAATTGTTTTTTTTTTACCAAAAATAAAGAACCAAGGAAGGTATTTGTTATTGGAAAAAGTTTTTTTTTTATAATTAATATTTTGTAAACATCCAATAAACCATCTTAAAATAATAATTATTTTTATTAATGAAAAGATAATAAAATAAATAAATAAATAATAATATAAAAATGAAAGGTGATCATTGGATAGATGTATAATAAAAAATATTTGTTTATATAATGAATTTTGTTATTTGTTAGATTACTTGATTAAAATATTTTGAGAAGATTTTATCGGTAAATATGACGAAAAAAATCTGCGATATATTAACACAAAGTTATGTAGGAGTAGAAAAGTTGAAAATGGTGTAACTTCAAACTTTACATCGTTAATACAAATGAGAATTCAAGAATATTTTATAAGATTGTTCTATGATGAACACATTTTATCAATATTATTGTTAATATAATTTATAAATATTTAATATAATTTCTCAATTAATTATTTATAAGTAATATAGTTTTATAAAAAGGAAATAAAAAATATCTTAATATAAATTATTGTTTAAATTGCACATTTTTATTAATTTTTTTTTCAAGAATGATAAATTAAAGAAATTATAAAAGCTAAAACGAGTGTATAATCGCTCAGTGGAATCAACTTCAAAGGAACCGCTCAACGCTTTTGGATCAGCTGAACAAAATCGGACTCTTCATCTGAAAATTAGCAATTCTTTGAGCGCTTTGTCATCCACTAAGCGGTTTTAAATTTGCTGAGTGGATATGAATCCGTTGAGCGAAATTCTTCCAAAGAGATCATGTAACTAATTTAACTGTAAATCCGCTAAGCGGGTGTGAAATCATTGAGCAGATTTGTCAAATTTCAATTTTGCAAAATGGTGTATTGAGTTCTATTTTATAATTATGGACTTCATATGTCTTTGTTGTTGTATCAATAGACCTTCGAAGGGGTAGAAACATGAGTTAAGTTTGAATCACAATTCATTCATAGATTATCTCTAAGTTCAACTCTTGAGTTCTTTAGTTTTCAGTAATGATGTTTAGCTTCCAAGTTTATTCATGAAGTTTCTTGTACAAATAATGCAATAAAGTTTATCAATTCAAGTTCTCCTTGATTAAGTTTGTTTCTTTTTCTCTTTACTTCTTTGTTTTTACTTTCTATTTCATCTTCTTCTCCATTTTCCATTCATTCCTTGATCTGTTTGTGATTTTTCCATTTGATAATCATGTCTAATTCATTTTTGTTGGTGATTCACTGGTTAAAACTTGTTTTCTATGGTTTAGATTTGATTCTTAATGATTAATCGATTATAATCCATTACAAATAATGTGAATGAGGTTTTTTTATTGAATGTCTCCTTTAAATCATAATTCAATTTTTAGGTTTAAGTGATTGCTTGATCTAGAAATTGAGTTATGAATACGAATTCTAATTGAATTATAATTAATTAAAACTGTTGTGGATTTGTTATTGTGATTGTAAGATAATTTCATAAAAATAAATGATAATCATAAAATCAAGTTTATGATTGGAGAATCAATACAATTTCTTCACTGTTCTTCATCAACTTTTACTTTGATTCTGTTTTACTTTCGAATTTAGTTTGCAATGTTCTTTGCATTTAAAACTTTCCTAGATAAGATTTAAAAGCTTTCATTTAATGGTTTCATTTAAAATACTTTCTTTAATTGTTTTCATAGAATAATTTTACTATTTTTAATTTAGTTTCTGCATTTAAAAATCCACTTATCTCCTAGCTTTTGATATAGAAAATTAAGATTTTAAACAAAACAAAATAATTCTCCTCAGGATTCGACCTGGGCCAATTCTTAGTATTGTATTACGTTAAATTGCAAATTATTTGATGAAATCTAGACGACAAGATTAACTTCATCACTCTCTCTCTCAAACCCGATGAAATCGTGTGAAAAAGTTTAAATGCCCAAGCAAGTGGTTGAGAAGGTCTTAAGGACTTTAGATACAAGATTCAATATGACTTATGTCTAGATAAAAGAATCCAAGAATTGGATTTAGTGAAGTTGAAAGAATTACAAGGGTTGTTAGAGACTCATGAATAACGTTTACGTGAAAGAGCATATGATAAATACAATTCAGAACAAGTCTTATTGGCTAAACAAAATAAGAAGAATGTTGATAATCAAGGAAAATTCAACAAAAGAGGTAATGAAAGAGTGTTCAGAGGTAGGGATAATGAAGATCGAGATTCAGAAGAACAACACGTGAATTCTTAATAATTGAGAGGTGATAGAGATAAAAATTCACAATGGAGAGGTGATCGATTTGGTTCTAATAATAACGAAAGCAATATACAGTGTTATAATTACAACAAATGTGAGCATTATGTAGCTAATTATTGGAGGAAAGGTTTAAGCTATAATGATAAAGAAGCAAATGTGGTGCAAAAAGAAGATTTCGAGGATGAAGTTTTATTGGTGGTGACCATGACAAAACCAAAGAAAACATATGGAGAATCTTGGTATTCGGGTATAGGTTGTTTCAATCATATGTTATCTCAAAAGAGTTTATTTGTCGAATTGAATGAAAAGATTAAAATGAAGGTAAAGTTTGTAGATAATTCTCTAGTACATTGTAAAGAAAAAGAAAAGATTTTGATTAGAGGAAAAAATGAGAAATCTGTAATAATTTCATATGAGCTCTATATTCTAGTCATGAAACACAACTTATTGAGTATTGATCAACTTCTTCAAAGAATGCATTAATCGATTGAAGCGAATGAAAATGTTGAGAATTTTTGATAAAAATGGAACATCAATTCTAAAAACTCCTTAAGTAAAAATAAGATCTTTAGAGTTGATATTTTAATATTAAATCATGTATTTTGTAGTTATAATTTCTGATGTCAATTAGTTATAACATCTAAGATATGATCTTCTAAATTTCTGAGTCAACTTATAGAAAAAAAAAAATAGTGATAAGATTGTCTTGAATTTTGAAGTATAAATATATTTGTGAAAATTGAAAAAAACAAACAAGAATCTAGTTAAGATGCATATAGAAACCCAGAGTAGAAAAATATTAGAAGTTATATATATTAATGTGATAAACTTTCTATGTATCGTCACTATAAAAAAAATTATTACCTTCACGATTATTTCAATAAAAAAATATGATTATATTAAAAAAAAAAAAAAAGAGAGAGAGGAAGTTATTTTACTGTTTGTCCAGTTCATAAGGTTGTTCGAAACAAAATGGCAAAGTTATTATCCAACAGATCTCGATTCCCTCATACACCACCGACGAAGACCTCGAAACATGATCGGCGAGTTTTTCCCGCCACCAACTCCACGGAAAGTAGAGACGCTTTGACTTCATCACTCGCGTATACAAAGAAGCGCGTTCGTTCTCACAGCTCATGGTACAAATAACAAATCCCAGACACAATTTCGCTCTAGAACTAAACCCTACTTTCAGCAATGGCTGAAAACTTCGACGGCCTAACAAATAAGCTCCCAGAGCTCAAACTAGATTCTAAGCAAGCGCAAGGGTTTCTATCATTTTTCAAAACCCTATCTGATGATCCAAGGGCTGTGCGGCTTTTTGACCGTCGGGACTACTATACTGCCCATGGCGAGAATGCAACTTTCGTTGCTAAGACCTACTACCATACTACTGCTATGCGACAGCTGTGTAGTGGATAAAATTCTCTTTCCGGTGTTAGTGTCAGCAGGAGCATGTTTGAAACAATTGCTCGTGATCTCCTTTTGTAGAGAATAGACTATTCTCTTGAAGGTAGTGGTTCTAATTGGAGGCCGGTAAAAAGTGGAACACCTGGTAAATATTGGTAGTGTTGAAGACATTCTGTTTTCTAACAGTGATATGCAAGATTCTCCTGTCGTTGTTGCTTTGTCACCTAACTACCGTGAAAATGGTTGCACAATTGAGTTAGGATTTGTTGATCGAATTAAGAGAGTACTTAGGATGGCTGAATTCCTTGATGACAGTCACTTTACAAATGTGGAGTCAGCATTGGTTGCACTTGGCTGCAAAGGGTGCCTTCTGCCTATAGAGTCTGGCAAATCTACTGAAAATAGAATGTTTTGTGATGTGTTGACCAAATGTGGTGTAATGTTAACTGAAAAAAAATATACATCTGAATTTAAAACCAGGGATCCGGTCCAGGATCTTGGCAGGCTTGTTAAAAGGTCCTATTGAACCAGTTCGAGATTTAGTATCTAGATTTGAACTTGCACCTGGTGCTTTGGGGGCATTACTATCTTATGCAGAGTTACTTGCAGATGGAAGCAATTATGAAAATTATACTCTTAGTAAGTACAATCTTGACAGCTATATGAAGTTAGATTCTCAGCAATGAGAGCACTTAATGTACAGGAGAGCAAAACTGATGCAACATCTGGCTTAAACAGCCGTTAGTAGATGTAGAAGAAATTAATTCCAGGCTGGACATAGTACAGGCATTTGTAGAGGACACTGTGCTTCGCCAAGATCTGAGGCAGCATCTGAAAAGAATATCAGACATTGAGCGACTGAGTACAGTCTGCAGAAGCAGCGAGCTGGTCTGCAACATATTGTTAAACTTTATCAGTCGAGTATTACACTACCTTACATCAAAAGTGCTTCGAAAATATATGATGGACAATTTTCCTCAACGATGAAGAAGTAGGTATTTGGAGCCTCTTGAGTTATGGACTGATAATGAGCATTTGAACAAATTCATTGGGGTTGTAGAAGCTTCTGTTGACCTTGATCAACTGGAGAATTGGAAATACATGATTTCTCCAAGCTATGACTCTACACTAGCTAACCAAAAGGAGCAGCAAGAATCACTAGAGAACCAAATACATAAATTGCATAGACAAACTGCTGATGATCTTGATCTATATAGATAAGGCATTAAAGTTGGGCAAGGGCTCAGCAATTTCTCGAAGCATTTGTTGCTTTGCCACTAGAGACGATGGAGGTACTAATAGCTTTGCAAGAAGTGAGAAGTTAACAGATACTATGGAGAAGGATGCAGAAAATTGTCATTGGCTGCAAAAATTCTTCTTGTTCGAAAGTTGTTAGTACCCATGCATTTTGTGAATTTTGAAGAGCTTCTTGTTGTACATGATGTGTTCAACGATAAAAAGCAAAATTGCAGCTTCTGTGTCTAATTACAGTGTGATTTCCCTTGATGAAGAACAGATTGCTGCAAATCTTGTGAACAATGGCCCTCTTGTAGATGCTGTCAATGCAGTTTATATGCAGACATATATTGGTGGTGTCTCTTGTCCATACATATCTGGGAAGCATGGGGTTCTACTAGAGGTTATGGTGAAGGTGCATATGCTCCCACTATTTTTTTCAGGAAAAGCCTTACTCGATCGTCAAGAATTCATGGGGAAGAACTTGTTCTGAAATACAAATACGAATCTAAATCTACGTTCATTAAGAATAAAAAAGATGAGTAACATTTAATCACTCATGAACTAATCTCTTAAGGTTTTTTATTATTCATAATGATGGGAATTCTTAATCCAATATCTTAATGTTTTTTATTTATATTGGTGTGAATTTTTTATATATGTTGGACTCAATAATTGGTGAATCTCGAAAGACCCAAGAGAACTGGGGAAAGAATGGATGCTACAAGATCTGCAGAGGTCGAAATGTATGTGGAGCGAATTCCATGGGCTGAACTGTAGGTGCTCTACATACATCCAGCAACTAAACACAGGGATCATCTCCTCCTATGGATCAGTAAACCTCTATGTTTATGTAGTTTGTAATTCTGTATGCTTGTCAATCCAGTGCCTTTGTTCTTTGTCATGGCAACTTGGAATTAGAAAATACTTCAGAATAAAATTTTATTACCTTCTATTTTAAAAAAACTAATATAATTTTAAATATTATTAAATATCATATATTAAGTCACTTAATATTTAAAATTTTTATTCATAGTGATTTCGAAACTAACTACATATCATATTGAATTTATTTGATATTTAAAATTTTTATTTATAATAATTTTAAAAATGATTACATGTTAAATTTGAACTTGTTTTATATCTAAAATTTTCATTTATAATAATTTTAAAAATTACTACATATCAGGTTGAATCTAGATATTTAAAATTTTATTTATAATAATTTAAAAAATTAATAAATATCATATTGAATATCATACTTGTTTGATATTTAAAATTTTTTATTTATAATAATTTTGAGGATTATTAAATATGAGTTTAGGGTTTATGTGATAATTCGAAATTTTCTTTTATAATATTTTTAAAGATTATTAAATATTATGTTGAGTTTTATAATTGATATTTAATTTTTTTATTTATAATAATTGTAAAAATTATTAAATATTATATTAAGTTTTGGACTTACTTAATATTTAAATTTTTATATATAATATTTTTGAAAAATGACTAAATATAATGAATTTTGATATTTAATTTTTTTATTCACATAATAATTTTGGAAAATATTATGATCATGTAGAGTTTTGAATTTACTTGATAATTAAAATTTATAATATTAAAAAACATATAAAAATTAAAAGAAAAAAAAACACTAAAAGATATTCTGTTTTACAAAAATTTCTAGAAATAAACATAACTTGATTTTCCATTATAAAGGAAATACATATGGGTAAGATCAATTTTTACGGGTCCAAATATATACTTTCATAAAGTTTTCTCACTCTCTTTTAAAATAAAAAAGCTGTGTATTTAAATATTTTTACATGTATATTTGTTTGAGTTTGGGAGAAAGATAAATATTTTTAAAAACTTTACTCCCTCCATTTCAAAATATACCATATTTAAGGTTAGGTTACACATATCAAGATAAAAAATATTTTTTATTATTTTTAATAAATTTATTAGCTTTTTTTATTAATACCTTTATCATCTTAATATTTCTCTTTATAATAAATATAATGAAAAAATTAGGATATATAATTGATAAAAAAAATAGTTAATATAATCTTAAACTTTACATATTGGAGGCAACTTTAGCATATTGGAGCTCAATCGAAAGGATCTTCTACTTGAAACCTATCTTGCATGATATTTGTGTTCAAGAGTCAACGAAAATAATAATTGACTCTAATGTTGCATAAATGGTACGATGACATTTGTAGTTTCTTTAAAATGTGACGATGAAATTAATTGTTAAAATGATGAAGTTGAAATTGTCCAACATTGACATTGGCATGGAAGAAAGTGGAGGAACACAAGATCTTGATCCTCTTCAAGATGAATGTTTTTTAAGTTTCACTACAAGAAAATCATTACCACCCACAACACCATCCACTTCTATTTTACCACCCATACCATCCTCTCTTATAGTTGTGGCACCCACCCCTTCTCTAGTTGTGACACCCACCTCCTCTCCATCTCCATCCCTTGTTGTGGCCTCATGACCTTCCTCCTCTCAAGGTCACTCACCTACTGCAGATGTTGATTTAGTGGTTGGAGAAGATGATTCTGCTATCCATGATCGACCGATAATTGAACCTTATGGTCGAGGGTAATATTTAATTTCAATTCTCAAATATATATTATAACTAAGTTTTAGTCATTTTCAGCACATATGTAACTTGTATTACTTTTTCTTTATAATTAGGTTTCTTCTGTCCAGAGTTGCATCACAAGCTATAACAAAGAGTATTAAACAACAATTTCTTGAGTGTTGGGTCACATGGAGAGTGATACCTAATATTGATAATGAGTCATTTTTTCAACATTTTAAGGTAACTTAATCTTGTGTACATACTTAATTATTAGAAGGATGTTTAATGTTACTATTGATTTTCATTAATGTATATATCTATAATTATTGAATATATGTTTTGTAGTCATTTCTCTATAATGTGTATAACAATTTATACTTTTATAGATGAAGGTTCAGTGGAGAGCAGAGCATGAACATTAAATAAAGAAGAATTTTCATTCCAAAGCATCTCACAGACTTAGTGAGATGTTTAGGGATGCAAGAATTGTTGGTCAAAGACCAGATTGGATTGGAGATCAGGTTTGGAGCAACTTGCTATCACATTGGAGCTCACCATTGTATCTGTCTAGATTTTCACAAGCCTAAAAAAATAGGGCATTTGAAAAGGGTGGGAGCCTTCACACAGGTGGCTCTATCAACACACACGAGCATGCCATGTGTATGGTAAGTCTTTTAATCATACATTTAGGATTTTGAAAAATTTATTGGGTTTTATATCTCAAATTGTTTATGTAATATAGGCAAAGGAGCTTGGAAGATAAGTTTTTATTGATGAGATCTTCTACCAGACTCATATTAGGAGGAAAACAAGTTAATTTGTTGATGAAAGATCTAGAAAGACACACATGAGAACCTTCACTTTAAACTTTGTATATTATGATATGTAAAGTTAATAATCATGTTAATAATTTATTTGTTTCTACTAATAGGAGGAATTTGAAACTAGACTTTCACAAGCTAGGTCATCTGCTGGATGAAGTTATATTGGCGAAACTGAGTCCACTCTTGGTGACTCTTGACATGATGAAGTTATAAGGTCCCGTTATTGGGTGGACACAGTTGGAGGTAAGAATAAAGAAAGATTGTATGGGGCTGGAGAACTTGCTCATGGTTATCAGGGTGATTCTGATAGCTTGAAGCATCAAACTCAAGCATCCAGCTCCTCAATTGACTTAGAAGAGATGAATCAGTTGAGACAATGACTGCCTGTACAAGAAGAAGAAATTTGTCGAACAAGGGAGCATAACGAACGACTAGAGAACCAATTTAGAGAGTTTCAATGTGTAGTCATTCAATTTCTACCCCCTAGTGCACAGTCTCTCATTCAACAACGCCAACATAGTGAAACAGATACTGAAGAACAACCCCAACAACAACAAGTGAATGAAGAGCAACAAGATAACCCACCACAGAAACACAACATACCAGAACATTATTCTCCTGATTATTCTCACTATTAAATGTTATACAAACATCTATAGAATAATATTTCAATTCTACTTGTATCTTGACCCTCTTTTTAGGATTGTACATTATGTTTCATTATACATAAATGAAAATATATTTGAATTCACTTGTTATTAAGTTGAGTTAGATTTATGTTTAATTGAATTATTGAATAGATTATTGAATTCGATAGGATTGAATGTTATCTATTTTACAGGTTATATGGAAAAAACAAAAATATAATGGCTCTGGAAATAGAGGTAGTTTTATCGACAGATTTACTGACGGATTATCCATCGGTAAGTTGCGCATGAATAATACTGATAATTACCGACGGATATATCCGTCAATAAGTCATTTGAAAATAGTCCACCTATCAGACTTTACCCACGTATATATTTGTCGGTAATTACCTATAACATAGGGATGGCAAAACGTTTTGGCCCGCCCCGCCTTTGACCCGCTAAAAACGGGACGGGGCGGGCTGACCTGATATAGTCATGACGGACTATAGACCTTGGCTCGCCCCACCAAGGGCGGGTTAGCAGGTCGGCCCACCATAATTCTTATTTCATTTTATTTTATTATTTTTAAATCAAATCTTTCAATAAATTTAGTAATAAAATTATCATTGTCAACAATTTAATATATATATATATATATTTCAAGTTAATAAATTAATTAATATATTATTTTAATAAATTATATTTTAGAACAATTAAATTAAGATAAAATTTATATAATAATAAATACATGTATGTAACAATAAAAATTATTAAATCTTTATTTTTTATATTAAAAAGTTTCAAAATTTAAATAAAAATTACATTATATTTATTTATTTGATAAAATTTCACATTGTTCTCCCATGGAGTAATTCTCATATCTTCAATTCAAAACAATCAATGTCCAGGATCATTAGATGCAGTATTTGAAGATCTCTCCAGCTTTTCCATCTTTGTCATTTTCTTCCTCATCTTCAACAACACACAAAATTGAAGAAAAAAAATTAGTAAAACAAGAGATTATCAAAAATAAAAATAAATAATATTTAAATTAAATGAATTACCTTCATAAAATCCATGTTTCCAATTTGAAGTACAAATTATTGCTTCTACATTCTCAGACAAAAGACGATTTCGTACTTATTAAGAATCCTAGAACCAATACTCGAATACAGATTCGAAGCAACTGTAGTAATAGGTATACTTAACAAATCCCTAGCCAATAATGAAAGATCAGAAAACGTTGGCTATTATTCTTCCACCATTGTAGAACATCCATATGTTCTGTAAAATCAAAATCCAATGTTGGCTCATCCAAATATACATCAAGTTGTTTTCTTCCAATTCTAGATGTAGCTTGAAGCTTGTGCTTTTTTAGTTCCTAATATGATAAATAAATAAAGAAGTTAAAAATATTAATTGAAAATTCATAAAAAATAATTGACTTAGAATAATTAACTTACATCAAAGAGACTTGGTTTTGAGGATGAAATATCAACTTGTTTGCACTTCAGAACATTTGAAGTTGTACTTTTGCTACAATATTGAGAGAAAAATATGTACAATTTTTTCTTTATTTTCTCCAACTTTACTTCACAAGTAAGTGGATCAATTCTTTCATAACAGAATCTTAATGTTTCCAACTTCATCCTTGGGTCTAAAATTGCACCAAATGCAAGTACAATACTATATTCATCCCAATATTTATCAAATTTCATCCCCATTTTTTC